TCATTTTGGGGAAGACAAGTCTCTGTGATACAAATGCACATGAGACACATCATGTGCCATATTATTATTACGACTTAACGACTTGTGATAATTTGATATCAGATAATTGTCACCAGTTAAGGCAATGAAATTAAGGTGGCCTTCTCTCCTGCTGATCCTCATTTGTGTTTCAGATTAATTGCTTGTCATAATGGATATCTCAGGCATAATTTAAGGTGCTAATCTTTTCATTATGTTAATTAGGAATTTTGCTTTGTTGACAAAACATGGACTGCATTATAACATCAAGACTTTTAATGCAAATGTTACTTTTATCGTAGGCCAAATGTAGAGAGCTAGACAAAAAAAATCATGATGGTTTTTAATGTAATCTAATGTAATATAGTGAACTACCTTTATCATAACAAGAGAAAGACCATTCAGTTGTAGGATAGATTGATTGGCTTGATTGAATGGGTTGATGAATAGATGAATGGATGTTCCTGATATAAAAAACCTTTAGTAGTGAAATAAAATTAGCATTTCATGGAGATTTTTATAATGCAGCATAAATCTGAGAATAAGGAAAAACCCATAATCGCTATTGGGGTCTGAAGCACTTATTACACCCAAATATTAGGTAGCCAAACCATTAGCTCTCAGGAGAAGAACTCAGAAGAACCACAAGTGAGAACAAGATGAACTGATGTGCAGAGAAAGAAGCAGGTCTCAGAGCAACAGATGAGTTCATAGCCCTGGTCATAGACCAGACAAAGGTTAGAGAGGTTAGAAACACTACAAGCTGAAACATGCCAGTCCTTGTCGTCATGTTTCTATCAACAAATATTAAGAAAGCTGTGAGGACACAGACTTTACCCCCTACTAATATTATAGTTAATTTTTTGAACAAAAGATCAAAAGGTTAAACAATAATGACATTTATTTTTTTTTAATAGGTCACCCTGGTTCAGGTTCACTTTAGTCATATTCTTGTAGCTATGATGTGTGTGTGTGTGTGTGTGTGTGTGTGTGTGTGTGTGTGTGTGTGTGTGTGTGTGTGGGTATAGCATGCGTCGTACCGACTGGCCAAGCGAGGCCCTGAAGAGAGAGGAGAGGAGGGCTGAAGCCAGGCTGGCTCATGGGATACAACGGCTCGATGAGGCCAAACGCTACCAATTGAACACACTGACCCGAGAGCAGCAAAGACTACACCGCCATCTCCTCACCCTTAAGACAGGTGTGTAAGTGAATGTTTAGAGTGTTTTATATTTTGTGTTTTGAGGGCAGCAATTCTCTAAATCTCACATGTACATTTTTGAACTTGGATTCAGGTAACCGGTGGAGAGGCTTAAACTCTGTGGGATCACGACCCTCCAATCATGATCTCAGCCACCCTGCTGTGTCCTATAGCAAGACTCGTCTACCCATAATCCCACCTGCAGACAGGGAGACAAACAGGCATAGGTGAGGACAGCAGTTTTAATTTCCTATTTTTCCTCTGTAAGACTTTAAATATTTGCACACATGGTAACAGATTGCTGCTTTGATAACTTTAAAATTAGCAATGCCATAGAAATGGCATCTATTTAATAGCTCATATACAATATACATTAAGTGGCCAAAAGTTTGTGGACACCTGACCAACATGCCCATATGTGCTTTTTGAATATTAAATTCCAGATTTATTCCCATTTGCTGATATAATATCCTCCACTCTTCTGGGTTTGGGCCTCTTATTTCCAGTGAAGTGAAGTTGTAATACTACAGTACTATACAAAGACATCATATGTAACTGTTTGCTACCAACTTTGTGGCAACTGTTTGAGGAAGAATCTCATATGGATGTGATGGACAGGTGTCCATACTTTTGGCAATATAGTGTATATGGTATGATTGAAAATATATTTTCAAATATAAAAAATGTAGTGAAACAAAGTTTTACCTATTGGTCACCTAATAATACTTAAAATTTTATGTAATCAAAAATAGAATTTGTCTTCATCTTCATCGAGACTTGTATATTGTCCTTAAAAATGATCAGAATATCTCACTTTTAGGATAACCTTAAGACCTAAGTGAGCAACGCTGTCAGATTTATTGCATTTCAGATAGGTGAAAGGTGACAAAAAGTGTAATTTGTCCTCAAATCCTTATTACATTCCTTGTGTTCCCTCTCATGGTCTCCTAACTCTCCAGAAATATTGAAGATTGATTTAGTATGATGGGACATGTAAAACTAAAAGTTCTTATACATCGTTTAAATTAAACAAGTTCCCAAAAAGCTGTTTGAACATTCATTTTTGCAAGCTGTGCTTGACATGTTTGTAAGATCAGTTGTAATTTGTGCCCAGAATGAAGTCAGGGTACATAATGCCAGGAAGAGCTGAGGTTACCATGGTTTAGAAGTGTTCGTTTCCAGAGAGGTAGGGAAGAATGTTAACTCATACGGTCACTCTTGACGCAAAACTTCTTCAAAGGGAATGTTGAAAATGAAGCAGTTGCAGTTTCGACTATGGCTTCAAAGTCAAAATGAGATGTATCCTGGGCTTGGTGTGATGTTGGCTGCCCACTTTGTATTCATCAAACTCCAGCTGGTTATATAACAAACTAATGAAAAAATGATCATAGCCTGATCAGAACATTAAGTAAAATGGTATAGGTAAAATTATTTTTACTCTGTAAAACTACAAAGAAATTTAAGTTTCGTAGATCGTAGATATAGCTGGAAAGCTGTATTTGTGTGATTGTATGGCCGGTACATATAGTTAACACCATGCACACAGAATAATAAAAACCACAAAGTAGATATATTTAGTCACTTTGCAGCCAGGATTTAGTTGTAGGCTAATTCAAATCTATGGAGATATCTACCCTGTTAAATTCAGCTGTAACTCACATTTAAGAAAGATTCATTGCTTTGCTACAGACATCATAAAATTCTACATGTTTCAGATATAATATACAGTTACAATCTAAATGATTTAACCCCCATTGCAAATCAGGTTTATTGTCAAAATTGACAGACTTTCAGCTGTTTGCAATGAACAAATCAAACAAAATCTATTGAAATAGTTTGACACAATGGATGCTTGGTGTGTCCTCAAATTCAACTGAAAATGCAACTTATAAGGATTTATCCAGTCTAAAAATGACTCAGTATAATGATTGGCATTTTCAAATTGTCTGTAGTGTGTGAATGTGTGTGTGATTGTGCCCTGCGATGAGACGGCACCATGTCCAGAGTGTCCCATGCCTTGTGCCCTGAGTCCCCTGGGATAGGCTCCAGTTTCCCCCGCGACCCTGTGTAGCATAAGCAGTACAGAAAATGTATGGATGAATGTATAATATAATATTGGCTACTGCAGTGTACTTTAGTACAGATAGTGGATGTAGTGAAAGTAATATGCAGTACACAAACTTTACACAAACGTCCCCCGCCTTGTGCCCCGAGTTCCCCGGGATAGGATCCAGACTCCCCTGCGACCTTGTGTAGGATAAGTGTTAGGGAAGATGGATGCGTAACATATTCAGGACAACATATTACAAATATATCCTGAAACATATAATCACAAATCTTATTAAGAAGAAATGAGGTCAAGCAACAGATAAGCTAAAAAGACTAAACTGTTTAGTAAAAATAAGTAGATAGGATGCACATGCATTTATTCCACTGATAGTTCACAGCTACAATGTGCTTATTGTGGAGAAGTAGGAGCACCCGCAGATAGAAGCACAATTTGGCGTACTGTTATATAAAAATACAGTTGGTTTGAAGTAGTTTGAAAGGTTGCTGGCTGTGTGTGTGTGTGTGTGGGGAATACGAAGACCCTAATAGCTACAGTATAATGCCACTTTTAGGCAATTGCAGGCAGTACAGGCAGGTGATGGTGTGCTGTGTTATGAGTGGGAGGATGCAAGCACCTTTGTGTGTAAGGTGTGTGTGATTTGCTTTGTGCTATGTGGCTGTGTGTCGTGGTTAAATTATATCTCCTGCTCTAGTTATTAAGATGAGAGTTGTGTGTGTGTCTGAGTGTGTGGGAGTATAAATGTACAAATGTGTTCATTGCAATTGCTGGGATTTCCTTGGATATTTGCACTGTTGAATTTAATAATGAGACACCACGCACCACACACACACACACACACACACACACACGCACACACACGCGCACACACACACACACACACACACACACACAGAAGGAAACAATCACTGAGAGGAAAACACTACCAAGGTGAACTCATACAAAGCCATAGAGAGACAAACAAAAAGAAAAGAAACGTCAAGGAATTTCAGAATAGGTTCAGCATTGCGCACCAGATCATTCTGCACCTTCTTGTAATTGTAATACAACCTAAATTACCTCATTTCTCTACTTATTTCTCTACTTCTAACTTACTCTCACTCTCTCTCTCGCTCTCTTTGTGGACTTGAGGCCATCCTGACAGTTTCTCCTCTCTACGCCAATTAATCAGAGGGCTTATGGGACCATCTCAGCACCTCTTCCCAAGTTATGTTTCTACATCTAACACCATTTCAGCTTTCTCCCTCCCTTCCCTGTCCTCCTTTGCTAGCAAAACACAAAACACATCTGCTTCTCTATCTGTCAACTCTACTCCTCTTTAGCTCTTATCATTCATCATTCTCTCATCAATTCCTCCCCCTTTATTTTCCTTGGTCTGTCCTTTCCTTCATATCCTCTCACGTCTTTTCATCCGCAATTCACTCGTCCTCTTTTACACACTCATTCTGCATAGATATGTGCCTTATATAAGAGGAAATTAACTGATATTCATTTAAATGCACTGAGCTGCTCTGAATAAAACCATCTGCTAAATGCCATAAATATAAATGTAAATCTTTAATGTGGGACATGTTTAGTCCTGATACACACTTTGATAGTGTTTTGAAATTCAATTTGATTTGATTTGTGTAGCAATTTTAACAGTGGGCATTGTCACACAGCAGCTTTACAGAGATATATAAATTCAGACTATTCAATTTATTTAAATGATCCTGGGGCAGTGGTGGCTTGGGGGTTAAGGCTCTGATTTACTGATCAGAAGCTCGGGGGTTCAAGCCCCAGCACTGCCAGCATGCCACTGTTGGGCCCTTGAGCAATGCCCTTAACCCTCTCTGCTCCAGGGACACTGTATCATGGCTGACCCTGCATTCTGATCCCAACTTCCTGACATGCTGGGGTATATGAAGAAAATAATTTCACTGTGCATATATGTGATAAATAAAGACTCGTTATCCCTAATGAGCAAGCCAGAGGCGACGGTGGAAAGTTAAAACTCCCTGAGACGATATGAGGAAGAAACCTTGAGAGGAACCAGACTCAAACCGGAACCCATATTCATCTGGGTGACACCAAAAAGTGCGATTATAAATCATTTATCTCCTATAACTTTTTACTACATAGTCAAAAAGTTCTGATTGCGTAACCAGGAAATTCATTCTACTTAACAAAATGTTTATGTTGTTGTAAAGATCAACTGTTCACTGACGGAGACGTCCCTTTTCTTTTTCGTATTTTCTCATGTGGATGTAGGGCACAATGTGTACACGTATAGTGATTTCAGTATTCAAATAACGGTGCTTCAAAAGGCTAACCAGGTATTCCAATAATCATGCACACCTCTTAAAACCAAACACACGTTCTTTCATGACTATGCAGTCATAAGCAAACTCCTGCTGAATTACAGCCAGCTATAGTACAGTATAGCGCGTTGCAGGCTTTCCGCAGGATGCAAAAAAGAACCAGGCTGACTAAATGATTAGTCCTAATGTTTATTCCATGCTGTGTCATTTAAATGATCAGTTTAAAAAAGCAGAACGAAAACATATTTCTATTCATCTTGTACTGTTTCAGTAACTTGAGCACGATTTAGTTTTGTGGTTAGAAATAAAGATGTTCCTCTCCTTAAGGCTTACGTTTCCTCATGCAATCTGCGATCTGTTAATGACCAATGCATAGTAGTACCTACTCAGCGTGGTTCAAGGTTGCTTTCCAGAACCTTCACACTAACTGTCCCTCAGTGGTGGAATGAACTTCCAACCTCAATCCGGTCCGCAGAATCTGTCACTATCTTCAAAAAACAGACCCACCTCTTCCATGAACATGCAACTAACCCCTAAAATGCCAACCCCACATTATTTAAACAAACAAACAAACAAAAAACCTTACTCTGGCTTACATCTCTTACATCTCTACTCTGAGCACTTTGCTTCTCTAGAACTCAAGTATAAATCTTGTTTGATAGCACTACTTGTATTGTTCTCCGCTTGACATATCGCTTTGCTTGTATTTCCTCATTTGTAAGTCACTTGGGTTAAAAGGGTCTGCTAAATGAATAAATGTAAATGTAAGATGCAAACAGGGTCAGAGTGAAACCAGTTTAGTGGCAGCATAATGAGTATGTTGTTAAATCACTCGTTTGGTACTTGACTTGGCTAATGATGACGACGATGAGGACTTGTTCCAACAATGATCCTGATCTGCTAACTGTGTCAGGCTCATTGATCTGATGACTGCAGGCCTGTGGATGCTGCAGAGTGAGCAGACGTGCAGCCTGGATTGGTTGCGATTGAATCAGGTAGCACAGAATCAGGCCACTGAAATGGAATGTTTTAATTTTTCAGTTGTATTATATTGTAGGTGCAACACTGGTGCACAACCTTCCTATCAGGATAATGTACAGTACCATGGCAGACCACTTCCTTTCAGTGTTTGATATAAACAATGCTGAAAATTTCAGCATGTTTTTTCAAATTAGTTTCTTTTTCCTTCTTGATGCTACAGTTTCACCATATCCTGGACCTAAATTTATAATGCTTGAAAAAATACATATTTTCAAGTTTTTCTGTTCATTCCTCTCTGCAAATCTTTAATAATAGAAAGTTTGACTTTTGTGTGTGTTGTTGTACCCACAAATTGCACCCTTTTTCTGCTATCTGAAAACACCGTTTGGCCTTTACATTGCGCAAATATTTCATGGCCAATGGATCAATAGAAATGAAATAAAATAAGCTCTACAAGCTCTGAAATCTGCCTTCCAACACTCAGAACTCCAAGGATGCTACTCGAACATCAACATTTCTGGAACGTTCTATCTTTGCCAAATCGCCTCCAGAGCTAGAGAATATTTCTACACAAGGTTCATGAGTAACAGTGTTTGAGGTGGTAGATTGCCAGCTGTAGAGACTCTTGTGGTTGGGTTCGAGTTAGCGAAAGACAGCTGAGGCAGACTTCTGAAAGAACCCTGTAAGTCTTTTGGAAGCACCTGTTATCTAATATTTCTTTATTTCAGATTCGACTCATACATGATGCCAAGTTTGATTGGCACTCAATTATAAGTAGGCCGACAGATGAATGGTTTAGAAATCTTTAGCTACACGATTCCCAAAACCTAACCATCATGTTCTCAAAATGGCAATGAAAAGGGACGTTGATGCTGAAAGGAATGAGTATAACAGTGAAAGAGGATCAGCAGCTCCAGATGCTTGAAAAGCACCAAGGACAAATACACACACTTGCAGCGATTATAAGTGTCAATCATGGATTTCATCAGTTTATTACAGAAGTTCTCCTTTTACAGTTTTGCATACAGGACGATGCAATTCAAGAACTCACTTCCTAGAGGCCATTATTTAATGTTTCTAATGGCTTTACTTCAGAAAGATTTTCTATACAGTTAAGTAGGGACTGCTTCAGTAATGACAAAAAACTAGCTCCAATCCTGCTTTTCTTCCTTTATCTCTTTGTAGGTCTGGGAAGCCGCAGTCCATCTGCTCCCTGCAGGCTCGCGTTCAGGACTTTCTCAGCAGTGGTGAAAACAGGGCTGATAACACTACAATGCCTGTATGTCTGCCAGACCTCAAACCACGGCCCCCAAGCAGCATACTTCCTCCAGCCAACCCAGAGAGAGAGAACAAGGCTGGAGATAGGGATGGACAGAATAAGAAACACAAGGCTAGAGGGAGGGAGGGATTGAGGTCAGCACTGGAAACACATGGATTTAGTTCAAAAGACAGTCAAAGAGAAAATCAGATAGTAGCAAGTTATACAGAAAAAGAAGAGGGAATTACTGTAACAATACCCTACTCTACCCCTCTTTCTCCCCTCTCTGACACCCGCACTTCTGATGGCCAGTTGAGGATGGTTCACACACTGCCTAATTTTGTGCAAGCACTGGCAGAGGCACGTAAAGCCCGATACATACGACACAGAGGACATCCTTTGTGTGAGAGAGAGCTGAGCATCAGAGAGATATTCTCAAGCAACTCTAAAGACACATATACCACTCACTAACACAGTAGTATCTGCTAGTCTGCTTCACACTTATACATACTTATGTTGAGACCTGTGAGCACACAAACACACTTTTAAACTTTACAAGGTGCATTTCAGAAAGAAAGAAAGAAAGAAAGAAAGAAAGAAAGAAAGAAAGAAAGAAAGAAAGAAAGAAAGAAAGAAAGAAAGAAAGAAAGAAAAAGAAAAGAAAATTTCCTTATGGAGAACAGCCAAATGTCCCCCAAGGTCAAAACATTCATGTATACCTAGTAAGTACATTATTTAAAGTTCTAGTAAATGCATCATTTAAAGTTTAACATCATTCGTATAATGGACTATACTATTGGGTGTGGTCAAGTTCAAGCATTTTGTAAACTCTGTAACTTATGTATGCAATTGGTATTACAACATGACCTACATTTTCAGTTCCGCATATTGCAGTCTATTGTCAACATTTTGGTGGGTTTTGGGGAGCATACATTATATAAATGCTCTGGCATGAGCTATGTACAGTATATGTTTACCTCAGACTTTGCCAGAGTAAATACAGAGAGTTTACCATATGATGTAAACCGCTGGTAAACCTCAAAAACAGGAAGACCAGATCTGAGTTTGTCAAAAACATACAGTCTTGTCCCATATCCATCTTTTTATCAAACCCAAATGTCTTTGGTATGTGTGTGCGTATATATATATATATATATATATATATATATATATATATATATATATATATATATATATATACTGCTCAAAAAAAAAAGGGAACACTTGGGTGACATTGTGCTGTTTAAGTGTTCCCTTTATTTTTTGAGCAGTATATATATATATATATATATATATATATATATATATATATATATATATATATATATATATATATATACACACACACACACACACACACACACACACACACACAAACCTATCATTATATTTGTCCTCTGTCAGACACAAGTCCTTTAATGTACACCTTTCCAGTACCAAGGCTGAACATGTGTACAGTATAATTCTTTCTGTGCACTTTCTGTGCAGTACTGAATGATTTACATCTGCTGTTCCCACTACAACACTATCGCCCTCTGCTGGTAGTGCACACCACTGTACCCGGATAAACCTTTTATGTTTTTGGGTTTTTTTTTTAACGTTAAGAATGAGTAAAAGACGAACTATCGAAATAAGTTATCATTCCAGTGAAAATAAAGTGAAAAATACAATACGTGTGCATATATGTGGAAAAACTTTCTGCTTGGTCACTGTTTGAATGACGTGGGACGTGTCCATGGTGATGTAAGGAAGTGTGCTGTACATGTGGGTTAGGTGGGGACAACTCACACCGAGTTTCAGAGTTTTGCAAACTCGGAATGTGATTTATAAATGTCTGAGAAACAGACTTCAGTCACAGATTAAGAACACAGACAGAACATGACCGGGTTTCGGAGGCTCGCTGCAGGAGTTTCTTCATTTAGCCAAAATCTCACTAAACTGAGCGGGCTGCTTTCTGCGCGTCAGTGCTCTCTACCCGACCACATGGGTGCACTTCACAGGAATAAGTGCTTTGTTCGAGGGTTCAGCGCTGTGCCGAATCGAGATGCTGTCGAAGTGGACGTCAGTCGCCTGGAAGGTGAAGACCAAGGTAGGTGCATTGTGTTTTTAATTACGTCTGCTCGTCACACCTTGTGGCGCCATTTTAAAGTGTGCTTAAACAACTGGGGAAAGTTGATTCACACGTAACAGATGTAAACTCTTGTTTACTAAATAACATTCATTAAGAGCTCGTTTGACGATCCTAATGGCG